ACCCAGGAGTTAATGGCTTAAACTGAAAACTATGTGTTCTAATCAGTTTTGCTTACTTTTCTGACTCCCAACTTATTTTCCTTAAATTTCACCTTAACGAAAGGCAAGCACTTTTCCTTTCCAGTTTCCTGGTTCCTTTAATTTTACTTGGACTTGTGTCCTTTTGTGCTGGGTCCAGCAGATGCAATAATAATTTCGTCAGCCAAGCTTCTGCAAGGAGCCCTGCAATCATAGTTTCTTCACCTGCTTTCTTCCTGTCAGTCACAAAAGAACAGGATGACATGTATTCAAAACGCACAGGCAAAAAAAATAATAATAATAACAACCAATCACTGGAAGGACAAAAAGGTTTCATGGTGTATGTGTCATTTACATCCCAGGTTCTGAAAAATGCTGCTACACTGTCATTGCTGTATTTCCCCCTCCACCCCCAAGCATCATCATCCACAGCTAGGGATGAGGCCCTAATTTAAGGATGCAGAAATTAATTCCACATGAAAAGTATCCAATTCTCTTCAAAACAGTTTAAATTTTTGATCTTTCTCAACTTGGTGATTTTTACCAGTAGAAACACTGTCTCACTGACTCTTTTCTAAGAATTTCACTCTGGATTACAGATTAGCAAAGAGTTTTAAGATCTGATGAAACATGGCAGAATCAAAACCTAACTGTCATCATTTTGATAATCTCAGCCATATCCTATGATCACTTTAAAAATTGTTTTGGTGAGTCTTCTATTAAATTAAAATCTCTTAAAGGTATGGTACTGGGGAGGAATAAGGTGGTACAGAACCTAGTGAACCCAGGTTGTTTAAACTGGAACCGACTAAAGAACAGGCTACTGGTCTAGTCAAACCTAGAAAGCAAATGAGGTTATTTTGGTGGGGAACAATTCAAACACATACACATACACACATATGCAGGCACAGAGCTGCCAAGCTTTCTTTACCTACATGTCTCCTCTTTCTCTCCTGTCCTTGTCTGACCCTGCATCCTTACAGTATTGAAAATATATTACTATTTATTTTGGTGAAAAACTATTAGGCTATTTCAAAGGCATGAGAGCAACACAATTGAGAAATGGTGTAAATCAAACTGATCCACCTTTCTGACTTGTGATGTGGTAAGGGGTGGTAAGGGTGTCTGGACACTGTCAGGGCATTGCAACCCATATTCCAAAGTGACTTTGTTATATGAAGGGAGTTTAATTTTTTTTCCTTTTTGTAACCTTGTGAAATTTCCACATTAAAAAGCCATCACATCTTTCAAACTGGAAATGATTGTGTTTGGCACCACAGTCTCTGGTGTAATGGGTTGAGCTTGTTTTCACTAGAGCAAAATCAGCTTTCAAAATAAATCATCTGTAACAACACTCTACTCCCCAAATCATGTAATCCTATTAACCAAGTTTCATTTTTTTTTCATTGTCACTGAGCTGACAAGATTGGCCAAGTTTCAACGTGGTAACAGAAAGCTTTGGAGGTCCTAGCCAAGGCAAGGAGAGCTACCCAGCTCCAGCCTTGCCAGAGCTGAATGAGCCCTTAAATGGACTCATCTGTACTTCACTCCACCTAACGGGCTTTGTGGGGAACAGGGTCATCCAATTACTCAGCAATTCAAACCACTCAACAAATAGTCCGGTTGGGACAATCGAAGAATAGTGGGTTACCATGGCCATCCCAGTGAATAAGACCTTTATCAGAAGTACACAAAAGTGCCAGTGTGCTGAATGAGAATGCATCCCAAGTGACTGCGGGGAGAATCTTTGCCAGAAGTGTAAATTATGTGGCTATATCTAAAAGAGCACCTTATAATTTCAGATTTCTCAGGAAAGCATATTTTTCTTTGAGGGTAAAAAGAAGAAAGAAAATGAAACATCTTATAATAACCAAGTAGATTTGTTTTCTTCTGCCAGCAGGAAGAAAGCGCTCCTAGAAAATGTTTAGGGAGTTTCCAGCAAAACTTACTGTTCAGCTTGGTCTTTGTCCTTTCCAAATGGTATGAGCCACTCTTTGCACTTGAGATGATCAGTGAGGCAACTGACCATCTGTAAGCATTATAATGGTCTTATTAAAGTAACTCACTTCAGCTACCGTCAATTTATAATTTGCCATAATAAGCGACAGGTGACAACTTTTATTAGCCGTAACTAGATTCTGTCCTGGGCCCTCTTAGACTGAAATCCACATCTTCTCCCTGGAGAGTACTCCTTCCAGTAAGTCCTTGGGGCAGCTTTTCCCATGAGCCAGTATCTTCCAGCATAATATTTACATGTAGGCCTAAGGGTAACTCAATTCTTCAGCGTCAACACAAACTCAGGGTTGGTCTGATTCTGTCCTTTTGAAAGCCTCCCCCAGACCAGAGTCTTGTGTCCAATTCTTTGGTTTTCAGCTTTTCTTACTCGACTGGCAAGCAGTTATCTCTGACTTTAGAATCAGTCCTGTGTTTGAATTCTGTCCCTGCTACTCACTAGCCTAATAAATTTGGTCAAAATATTTAACCTCATTAAGATTCAGTTTCTCAAACTATTGAAAGAATGTAATAGTACACTCTGCTTAATTAGGGTCAGGTGGGATGGCTCACACCTGTAATCCCACCACTTTAGTAGGCCAAGAAAGGAGGATTGCTTGAGGCCAAGGAGTTCAGGACCAGGTCTGACCAACATAGTGAGATTCTGTCTTTAGGAAAAAAATTTAGCTGGGTATAGTGGCACATGTCTGTAGTGCTACCTACTTGGAAGGCTGAGGCAGGAGGGTAATTTGTACCCAGGAGGTAAAGGTTACAGTGGAGCTATGATCACACCACTGCACTCCAGCCTGGGTGACAGAGAGAGACTCTGTCTCTAATAATTGATAATAATAAAATACATGGCTTAAAGAATTACTGTGAGGATCAAATAATAATTGGAAGTTATAGAAATTAGCAGTTATCCTCCCCTCTCAGAATAATTATAGGACCATTGTGCATAAAATTAACTCTATATAAGAACAATAGCAAATCATAGGAATAAATGATTTTGTCATCTCAAGCCTTTGAAAGCATTTCTCTCAAACTTTTATTATAATAAAAAGAATAATTAGATACAAATGGAGGGTTCTAGATGTTCACCATTTGTCTCCCTTTAATTCCCTAGAAATAGAGTGGCTTCCTTACATTACAGATTAAATAGTATTTAAGAGTGGATTCATTCTCTAAACCTCAAGAAAAGAAGCAATTTTCTATGGGAAGTTACTTTTGAGTCTGAACCAGTTTTAGATAAACTGGCAAGGATCACAGAGCTTGCATAAATGATAACTGGCTTTTGTAAGGTATCCCACTATTTAAAGTTTTATGGTCATTATTTCAAACCAGTGAAAATAGAAGTTTCATTAAAGAAAGGGTATTTATCTTTCAGTGAAAAATTTTGTAGTTATGCTAAAATGAATCAAGGCTTTTTCCCCCCACTCTATGTAAGGCACCCAACGATAGAAAAATAGCCATATAACATATGAACAATTTAATTATTAAAGAATTAAGTACTATATTCTTATGAGAGAAACTTGTGTATATAATGTTATCAGAATATCAGACAATTATTCTTAAGGGAATGGTTATGACATTCTCTCTGTGATCATTTATAAAGTTATTCTCATTTTTATTCTTTCCCAATAATTGATCAGGAATTACTCATCTTTATTGATATATGTATAGATCTAAAATGTATTTTTGGTTTTAAAATACGTTCTGTGTTTAGTTGGAGATAAGAGCAAACAAATGTTTATCTTGATTTAAAAATAGTTAATTATACGTAAACCAAATACGATTTTTTGTTTTTTGTTTTTTTGAGATGGAGTCTGGCTCTGTCACCAAGGCTAGAGTGCAGTGCAGTGATCTTGGCTCACTGCAAACTCCACCTCCCAGGTTCAAGCAATTATCCTGCCTCAGCCTCCTGAGTAGCTGGGATTGCAATCATCCACCACCATGCCAGGCTAATTTTTGTATTTTTAGGAGAGACGGGGTTTCACCATGTTGGTCAGGCTAGTCTCGATCTCCTGGCCTCAGGTGATCTGACTGCCTCAGCCTTTCAAAGTGCTGGGATTACAGGTGTGAGCCACCGTGCTGGCTCAAATTGGATTTTGGCAAATCATTTCTTATGACAAATTGGGACATTGAGAGGCCACATTAATGACATATATATTCATAACATGAATATATTATGGGCTGGGCATGAAGTTAATTCAAACCAGTTGTCAAAATAGCTGAAGATATTACATTGGCTATTTATTTATATTTTGTTTACTTAACAATATTTATTGCTTATTACAAACATTATTGTTAATGTTTATGAGGCATATTTTACATACAATAAGCTTCTTTAATTGCAGGTATATGAGTCAGTATTTTAAAAGTAAGTTTATAGAGTTATGCAGACATCATTAAAATTGAATTTCACCCTGGATTGACTAATTATTGCTCCTGAGTTTAAGGCTGTTTAGAAAGATCCTCAAGGATGTGCAGCCAAAATGAAAGGGTCCTCAAACAAGTTCACCATGCCCAGGTGGCATTACTAACCTTTAGCAGACAGTGGCAAAATCATGTGTGTACTACATGTCTGCCTTCATGACTAGCCTCTGAGCTCTCTAGTGGGGAGAATGGCACACACCGATTTAGCAGATTTTCTTATAATATCAAAATCTGGTATTTACCATCTGTGGATGGCAAATCTGGCACCAATACCAGCTCAAGTGTGTGGTTCCTTAGGCTAACTTTTGATTTATATTTCATGTTACAGTGCTAACATATCTCATACTAGAAGTGTTTATTTTATCTATTTTATTTCTTAGACAAGGTCTTGCTCTGTCGACCAGGCTGGAGTGCAGTGCATAATTATGGCTCACTGCTGCCTCAACCTCCTAGGCTCAAGCCATCCTTCCACCTCAGCCTCCTGAGTAGCTAGGGGTACAAGCGCAAGCTGCCATGCCAAGATATTATATTTTTTATTTTTTGTAGAGACAGGGTTCTCTTGGGCTCAAGGAAACTTCCCACTTTGGCCTTCCAAAGTGTTAGGATTGCAGTTGTGAGAGCCTGGCCTAGAAGTGTGTTTGATATGTGTGTGAAATAGGTAAAAGTTTCCCGCAACTTTGGGCTGCTCACTTGGCATTTTTCAACAGCAGATGCTTTCACCAGTAAACATGAAGGCAGTGATCTGAGAAGATAAGCATGGAACAGTTCTGAATCCCAGGGCAGTGGCAATCTGTCAGTGCATCTGCTTCTCTGGAGCTGCTTCTGTCTAAGACTTACCCTGGAGTGCCACTGTTGTCTCAGTCAGTATCTTCACAGAACAAGGGATATTATGTAAATATCATACAAAAGTAGTAGTTGAAAATTGCTTCTCCCAGGAAATAATCATTGTGCTTCCAAGCAACCATATGTTGAATATGGCATAGCAGTCATTGAAAGTGGCACATTTCACTCTGACAACAATAGCATTCAACTGGGGATAGATCTTCTGACTCTCTCTTTCAGGCTGCCAAAACGATTAATTGAAAAGTAAAAATCCAGTCAATCAATTCACTCCTTTGATACATGATGGATTCTTCTTCCTCCCTACCCTATAAGACCAAACTCATTTAAAGGGCATTCCTGTTACAGTATTGGAAGCCATTTTGGCAGTTTGTAGAGAGAGCTTCAGCAAAAAACAGTGGAACCCTGGCTGGCCTCATGGAGTCTGATGATTTAAACTGGATGCTGCACAGTAGTCCTGTGAAGCAGAGCTGTAACCAGTCTAGGTATTCTCTTAATACAATCTCTGACAGATTTCCCAAACCAAAGTAAAAAAGCTGTCAGCAAATAATTTCACCTCTCTGGGTCTTTTTTCAGGGCATCTTGGAAAGGGGGATGTGTTTGCAGTCTGTTAAAAAGAGAGACAAACACTGCATGAAACTCTGAATCATCTGGTCCCCTTCAGAATATTAAATCTTAGTTTCTATAGACAAAAGACAGAACCTATGCTCAGAGTTTATGAAGTTAATTTGACTCTGAGCTGGAGTAAGGAAGGATATTACCCCATTAACTTTGGGCAGACAAGTGGGCTTGTATCATAGTTTGGAATCTTGCCCTTACAATCCACAATTGATGTGTATTACACGATCACTTGCTTGGTAACAATTACTCCCAAGTGGTCGGATGGCATTTTTTCTGCTCATAATAATACCCCATTTTCCCTGGGGGCACAGGTGTCATCCAAAGAAGGTTCTACTACAAGATTTTTGTTCCAAAGTTTTCCTGGCCAAACGGGTACCACTTACTGCATCACCTCTATGTCCCCAATAACGTTTTCTGGCCCAAGCAGGAATATGTAAAAGAAAACTAGAAGGAGACATTGGGCTTCTAACACTGTAGTAGAGTGGGCAAATCAAAGGCTAAAAATCATGGAATAAGCCTTTTTTTGTTTATGAGAATGGCAAGAACTTTGGTCAAGATGGCATTCAAGATGGAAGCCTCTTAATTTGGGCATCTAAAATTTCTGCATCACAAAAATAAAAAAAAAGCCTATGGTGTTATACTGACTGGCTAGGTTGAAATAGAACAATAAATAGTTGAGGTGAACTCATAAACCTTAGCACCTTAGATCATATTTGCAGCATAGATGGTGAAACATGGAGTATATCTTTTTAGTTCCTATTCTGTTAATAGTCTACAACACAAAGGTAGAGCTTGGAATGCATTTAAATATCTAATACAGCCATATAATATATATTGTGTTTTTTATTTTTTTTTAATTAGGTTGTGGCTGTGTGAAAACAAGGACTGTATCTTAGGCATTTTTGAATCTCCAGCTTCTAGCCCGGGTGCTCAGTAAGTATTTTGTGAATGAATGAATCATAGTAATGTGAAGAGATTGTAGACGTAGAAGGGACGCATCTCGAATGACATGTTGTTAAACTTAATCAAAGTTCCAGTGTTGGGCATTTCCTTCAGTCCAGATCATCAGGTGAAAAATAATTCACCCACCAATTCTGGATAACATAACCCTTCAGACAGCCATTACATGTTTGTCTTCCTTTATGGGACCTGGATCAAATATAATGTAAGTTCACCCTTAAGAGATACTAATGTAAAATGAAATTAGTTAAAACTATGTTCCGCTGGGTGTAGTGGCACATGCCTGTAGTCCTAGCCACTCTGGTGGCTGCAGAGAGAGTGGTGTTTGAGCCCAGGAGTTCCAGGCTGTACTGTACTATGCCAGTAGGGTATTCACACTAAGCATGGCATCAATACGATGACCTTCCTGGAGCAGGGGACTATAAGTTTCCTAAGGAGGGGTGAAGCACTCCAGATTGGAAACAGAGCAGGTCAAATTCCCATGCTAATCAGTTATGGAATTATGCCTGTGAACAGCCACTGCACTCAGTCTGGGTGACATAGTGAGACCCCATAGCTTAAAAAAATATAAAGAAAAAAGTGTGTTTAGAAATATATTTTTCATTTTCAAAATCAGTACAAAAAGCTGGAGACCTTATCCGTGGTACCTCCTTCTAGGTGAGTCTTTTAAAATATATCAGGAGACTGAATTTCCTGTCCATCTCAAACTAACACCCATAACAGTACTTGTTAGGTGCCACCACCTTTAACAGAAGGATCACATCAATTTATATATGTCCAGCTAACACTAAAGCCAGAGGTTCACATTTCTATCAAAGAAAATATTTGTGAGTAATCAGTTAGTGACTCTTGTTAGTTATTAATCATTAAGGCATCTCTTAAGGAGGAATGAAGTTAATTTTACCTGATTAATATACTAGATAATACTACTCACTCTCACTTGTATATGTTATTGTAGTGATTTGGGATTATGGATTCTAGATAACTTTACATTTTATATAAACTGATTTGTGTTTAATGGGTACACATTGTATTTATCCTGTACTTAATTTGTGCTTAATTTACTATACTGATTGTACTTATTTTGTACTTAATTTATTGTATTTCTTACCCAAAGGAACTTAGAATGGCATGTCAGATATTTTATTAATCCTCATTACCTTTCGATAAAGTGTCAAACATTGTCATGTTAATTGTGGCTTTGGGTACCCAAGGCAAAAAGAAGTTAGGTTATTTGTCATGGGTCAGTCAAGTCAGGTAGTCATTTACTCTGTACTCAAAAACCATTCCTGATATATGCCCAGTACACATCAGAGTAGGAAAAAGTAGAAAAATAAAACAGAACAGAAAGCATGCTTCAAGCTCCTATGCCCTCTTTCTCTAGCAATATTCATGTGATGAATATTTATAACTTTACTAGTTAGGATAATGCTAGTTGTATTAGTTAGGGCAATGCTAACTGTTCTAAGTAGGTGCTAAAATGCATAAGGCCTTAAACACAATATAAATTTATTTCTTGCCTATAAAATATCTTGAGTCATTTAAGGGGGAGTGGGAAGGAGAGGACGTACCAGTTATTCAGGGATCCAGGCTGATGGAGTCTGTGCAGTCTTCATCATTTAGCTTCCAAGGTCACTATGATGATTATCTCAGGGACCCAGGCTGACAGTGGCTCTGCAGTCTTCAGCACTTAGCTTCCAAGGTCGCTGTGATTATTTCTGTTTGGTGGCTGAAGGAGAGTGTAGTGGAGAAAGTTTGGGAAGTTCTATGAGCTGAGTCTGGATGTGGCACCCATCACTTCTCCTATCCTACTGGCTAGAACTCAGGCTTACAGCATTGGTAAGGTAGCGGGGCTTAGAAATTATAGTCCTGGCTGAACAGCTTATTTTGCCCAACTTTGTGCCATAAACAGGAAACAGCTTTGGGAACTGTTAACTGTCACTGCCTGATAGCCTGAGTCATAGTTAGGCTTTTCCGATTTTATCCTTTAGAGATTTTAACTTGTCCTGTCCTTTCCTACTGAGATCATCAAGGCAATGATCTGATGTCAGAGCAATCTGGGCTTTAATGAACAATAGAAGCCACACTGAGGGTCATGGTTTGCATGTGTTTGCTGCTTGATCAATTTCTGTTGTTTAAGTCTGACTTTTCTTAGCTTTAGCTGGTGCGAATTTAATGCCTAGATCTATGTAACTGGGATTCAAACTCACTCCAGTGATTCTGTGGAATTCCTAGGGCATTGCTGCCAACTCCACACTGGCTTGTATCCCTGTCTATGTTTGCTGGTGGGCTCAGTGGTGTTTGTTGTGTATCATTTAAAATCTTTCATAAATAGCTGTTTCTTAGTAAAGCATCATCTCCTACTTTTTGCTGTTTATTGTTGGAAAGTCTCTTGGGAGCTGGAAAATAACAATTATTCATTTTGAAAAATGATTTGTTTTCTACTTTTAGCTCTGTTTTTTCCTCTTTCATATTATGCCTTCTAAGGGCTGGAAGGTACCTTGAATGTGCCTTAAGGGTTTGCTTTGATGATACCAACAAGTCAAAAAGGAGTGTTGCCAGGATGTTGAATGGCTAGACAAATATGTTATGGAAGAAAAACTCACCTCTGTGGAAGATGTCAATAACAATGGCTAATAAATTGAACATGTGTCGATATGAATGAGACACAAAGTAACCAGATGAAACATTATTTCTGAATGTGTCGGGGTTGGGGGGTGTTTCTGGATAAGATTAGTATTTGAATCAATGGACTCAGTATAGTAGACTGTCCTCACCCATGTAGGTGGACATCATCCAATGTATTGAGGATTGGAATAGAACAAAAAGTGGAAAAGGGAGGAATGTGCCCCTTTCCACCCTGCCTTACTGTTTGAGTTGCTCCTCCTCTTGGACTGAGACTGATACCATAGGCTCCCCTGGTACCTGGTCCTTCAGACTCAGACTGAATTACACCACAACCACCACCACCTGCTTTCCTGGGTCTCCAGCTTGCAGATGGCAGATAGGACTTCCCAGCCTCCACAGTCATGTGAGCCAATGCTGCATAATAAATATTTCTGTCTCCCTCTCTCTTTATATATATCTTATTGATTCTATTTCTCTGAAGATCCATGACTAATACACCAGGCAAAATGCTGAGCTTTCTACAGACATAATTTTATTTAATTTTCATAACCTTTGGAGATTGATATGTTATTCCTATTTTGTAAATGACAAATATGAGATAGAGTAGGGTTGAGTAACTTGTCTAGACTGCACCAGAAGCAAGTGGCAGTACTGTGAAAGAAACCATTATTTGTTTAGCTCCAAGTCTGTGTTTGCCAACATTTCAGTGTCCTGGCAATGGATTTCCATCCTCGACATTTCTATTTTCCATAGGCTCTCCATAAATACAATCTCCATGCCCCATTAGTACTCTTGGCAAATAAATGGTACACTAAATAAAAATAGACATTTCAAGACACTTTTCTTGATTGTCTTGTTCCTCCCTTTAAATTATATGCATTGAGAAAGGAGCAGGCTTTTTAGAATCCAGAGTACGTTTCCCACCAGATGAGCCACGATTTGCAGCTTCAACTACAGTACTTGACAGCATTGCTTAATAAAAAGATTCAAATCCACCTACAACTTTATATTCAAGAACAGATTATACCAGCCTTTAAAGGCAAATAGTATGAGAAAAATGATAATGTAACCATTCCCTGGTGTGTATTGATTAAATGTGAGCATTATGGTTTCATTACATCAGTTAATTTAGATTGGGATTAACTCAAGTTAGGTTTAATTTGGTACCACTGACAAAAAAAAATCAGAAATGTGAATAGGAAGAATAAATGACACATACCAGCCACAACAAAATTTTAAGGCTTGACATATCTTTAAAGATATTTTGACTTATTTTAATTTACTTAATATAGTATCCATCTGGAATGAGAGAGCTCTGACACTGTGTGTGACTCTGGGAAAGTTGTTCATCCTTTCTAAGCCTCAGTTTACTCATATTTAAAAATGGGAATAACAATAGTGTCTACCTCATAGGGTTGTTGTGAAGATTAAATGAGATAATGTATACGAAGCACTTGGGGATCAGCTAACTATAGTAAGTGCTTGATCAATCTGCATGGTCTATGATAATAACAGAATATCACAGACTGGGTGGCCTAAACAACAGAATGTAATTTTCTCACCATTCTGGAGACTAGAAGTCCAAGATCAAGGTGCTGTTGGGGTGGGTTTCTGGCGAGGCTTCTTCTTCTAGCCTGAAGACAGCTGTCTTCTTCTTGTGTTCTCACATGGCCTTTCCTCTCTGTGTGCCTGGAGAGAGAGAGAGAGAGCTCTCCAGTATCTTTTCTTCTTCTTAGAAAGACACCAGTACCATTGGATAAAGGCTCTATCCTCTTAACCTTTATTATCTTCTTATAGACCCTATCTCCAAATACAGTCACATTCGGGTTTAAGGCTTCAACATATGACTTTGAGGGAGGAGGGAGACACAATTCAGAAGATAATGATGCTCAAAACAGTAAATTTAAAAATTATTTCATTGTATTATATAACCACTCAATACACTGCTTTGTCTTGTGTGGATATGAGATCTTGTAAATGTTTTCAAAATTAAGTTCAATTGAGATTCCTTGAGGGAATCTCCAGAGCAAAAGTAGCTTAGGTATTGATCGGAGTTCCTTGTACAGGGACATATTAATTTGATCTCTGGAGACGTGGTGGTGGTGTGTATGTGGAGGGAGGGAACATCATCCAGAGAGCACACTACAAATAGAAGTAGCTTAAGTCTGGAAAATGTTCATTAGAATCAAAACATTAAGACATTTTGCATAATTAAGGCTCTTTCTTTAAAAAAAAAAAACTAATGCTTCTTTCTTTTTCTTTCACTATTTTTCTGCTAATTAAAATTGAGTCAAAACTGTGAGTGTCCATTTTGGGTGAAATGGAAATCTGAAGTCCATGTTCAGTGAAATTAATTTTGTTTTTGTTTTGTGTGTGTGTGTGTGTGTGTGTGTGTGTGTGTGTGTGTTTGCATTCTGTACATTGCTGTCTATTTTCTGCCTCATCCCATTCCAAGCATCTGACAGGTGGTAAGAGTTCCTATCTTGAAGAATTAAGCATCTATTTTGAACTTCAATGCCTGAATTGTTCATCTAAATTCTGGCATTTGGGGGTCATTTTGCTAACCACAAAAGATTGACAACATGGAGCAAATTTTAGCAAGACAACAATCTTTGTCTTCTTAGTCTAAGGAATTTTCAAAGTAAGTCTCAATCTTAAAAGAGCTCTTTCCAAGGCTTAGAAGTAACAAACTGTCTAAGAGGGGTAATGGCGGGGATGAGGGTAGATTTGTACTGCTGGACAGAGCCACCTGCATTTCCAGAATAACTTTGAAAGGGTTTTTGTCTCCGTTATTTTGGCAGGACATTAGTCATCATACTAAAGATCTGGTATTTACCAGATCCTTTTAAACAAATAATCTGGAAGCAACAGGAGGAAATCTGTAATAACTTATAATAAGCTCCTAATTTAGAGCTGTTTAGATTTCTGACAGTATGCCTGAAATGAATGACGTTTATATGAAGTTCAAGACTTCTACAAGCAAATCTGCTCCCAACACTCAGAAACCAAAACCCAGGATTTCATGTCACATTTTAAGAACAGTATCTTGACAGTTGGTCTATAGCTTTATAGAGGGCTTATGGGGAAAAGACGACTCTGAGGAAATGACTCTTCTCCCCAGAGCTAATGTTTCTGTTACATTGGCTTCAAGACAAGTGAACCCAGATCCATGCTGAGAATTTGGATAAAACAATGAGTAGAAAATGTGACCCCTAATTTTAGTAGCATATAAATGAGGTAAGATAGCATGACCTGACTGAAGGCATCAGGACTACACAATGAAGTGTTGTGAAATGTGAACGCAGAACTTACTTCAAGAGCTCTATCAAGCCAGAGAGGCAGAGATCACTGTGGACTGAAATGGAAAAGTTGAACTTCAGCTAAGTTTTTTATTCATTCAACAATATTTGTCAACTACCTTCTACATACTGATCATTGAGCTAAGTGGGGGATAGTAATAAAGAAGATAAGGTTCCTAACCTAAAAAAGCTTGTGTTCAGATGAGGGAAACCTTGTGTTCAGAGAGACATTAAACAATTAAAAAGAGTTACAGATTAGGAAAAGGGCAATGAGGGAAATAAAAAAATTTACAGAGTACAAAAGAGAGGCAAGCAATACTTTAGACAGTGCGGCCAGGGAGGGTCTCTATTAGGAGGTGATATTTTAGTTCCTATTGGTTGATAGGAAAGATCTAGTCATAAGGGCATTCAGGGAAAGAGCCCTGTTAAATAGAAAACCACCCACGTGAAGGGCAAGGGTAATGAAGCCACAGGTGACTGAGCAGACGGAGAGTTACAGGAGACCACCTAGGATAACTGATGCTGAGGGGATGGTGGCGGTGTGTGGGGATGAGTGTAGGGTAGAGAAGGGGTAATTTTTGTTACTGTAGAGGCAGGTTAGGTAACACACTCAGAGCTTCTTGAAGCACATCGAATACAGTGAAACCAAAAGCTGGCTGTGGTCATCACCTGATCATTCACAGAGCACTCTCAGACCTGGGAATCCAGGTCTCTATTCTTCTTTGTTCCTTCCAAAGAGTTTTCATCTTTCCCATCTCTAGAAGAAGAGGAGCAATTTACTGTTACAAGGTTTGCTTATCATTAAAATGTAAAATGTGCCTCCTAAGACAGTGAATGTCTGTGTGTGCATGCATATGTGTGTAATGATCTTGCATCTCTGAAGTCTGACTTGGGGTGGGGCCCAGCTTCCTTCCCTTGCCTCCTGCCATTTGCCTATGTGTCAGTTGAGATCTGCCAGAGCCTCTCCTTAATGGTTCCCGGGCTGTGCTTGGGGCCATGAAGCCAGGGCAGATTTTTCCATAGGGGCTCATCACTGGAAGTCCTTTCTCTTGCTGCTCTGTGAAAGTATGACTTTGTTTTAGTATTTCTGGCTCCTATTCTTGGGAAACCATTGTGAAGGGCTTTTGTCATAGTACTCAGTGCTGGCCCACCCAAATCGGCATTGCATCATTGGAAATTCTGCCCCTGAATCAAGGGTGGTGTATTATTTCAGATAGGTCATTAACGGACAGATTCCGTCGTTTCCCTCACAGTGCTGTCTTGGGTAGAATGTCACTTTGGTCTGTGTTTATCTGTAAACAGCCTCAGGCTCTGACGTAAAAGAAAGCCTTGTGCCCATTAGACTATGCAGGAGTAGGCCCACATATCCTTCATAGCTTACCCTGGAAAGAGATCTTGGTACATTTTTCTGCACAGACCACAATCTCTGCTTGCAGACAAATTGCTTCTCAGACAGCCTTCCTACAAGTCAATGTGCATCTCAGGAAAAAATCCATTGTTGTTTTGATTTTTCCTAAATGAAAGAAGAGCAAAAATAAAAGATATGCCAAATATTTATAAAAAGTAACTTCTTCTTGATAAAATCTTTAGAAAATAAGCCCTAAAGATAAGAAGTGGTAAATCATCTTATCTCTCTAACTCATAAAAAAGGGGACATGCTAATGTTATCATGGCACTAGACACAAATATAAACTTTTTCATTGATATTTAAAAAGATAAACGTAAACACCAAATTCCAACTGTGAAAAGTCTAAAATATAACTATATATACTCGGTATTTCAGGAAGGCCATTTTTCTTGTCTCTATGCTTGGAAACATAAAATATTTTCAATGAAAATTAAATTTATCACATTTTGATTATTTTGTTAGGGATATAGCTTCTCTGCAAATATTTACTTCTCACAGTGCCTTTTTAAATTTTGAGTTTGGAACACAGTATCACTTTGAACTATATACATGTCCTTCCTTTGAGGAACACCACATATTTGTGGGGCATTAGCACATCCTGGGAGTCAAGAATGAAGAGGGCATTCCATCTAACTTTTCAGGTGAGATTCAGTGAGGTGTTTATGACTCACCACAGCAATCGTCTGTGTAAGGAACAGAATTGGACCTGGCAATGTCCAGTCCAGGTCATCAGCCATTGGTCAAAGAGGAGCTGAGCAGTAAATGAGTGCAGCAAGCTCCATGGGGAGGGATGGATGGGGAAGGTGACCCAGGATGCGACCATGCTGCCCTACTCAGCTCTGTATCGTCAATTACGACTTCCTGCTGGGCACCTGAGGCTGGAGGCAGCGTTACCTAAACTGCACCCAGTATTTAATAGAGTACACATGCTTTGCTCATCAATGGGAGATTACCGGATTACCTAGGATAAAAAAGGGAAGGTCACTGGATCAGCTGACACTAAGTCCAATTTAGGCTTTAAAACTATAACAACTTCTTGGCTTTTAAATAAGCCTATCAGCAACTTTTTCTCTCTCAAGGCTAAAACCACCTTTTCAAGGGCTTCTCAAAGTTAGAAGGCAATGAAATTTCAAGTGTTCCTAAGAGTTTGCAGTGGGTAGGTATTCAAGTTTCAATTTCCCTGCTTGTAAAATCAGGATAGTAATATCTACTTCTTAGGGTTACTGATGGATTCAGGTAAGAAAACTCATAATACTGCCTAGGATATAGTGAAACTTCAGTAAAATTAGTGATTATATTATGTACCAGGAATATTTGGTGCTTTTATTTTTAATTTTTAAATTTTTTCTTTCAACTTTTAAGTCCCAGGGTACCATCTGTAGGATGTGCAGGTTTGTCACAGAGGTAAACATGTGCCATGGCGGTTTGTTGCACAGAAAATCCATCACCTAGATATGAAGTCCAGCATCCATTCACTATTATTCCTGATGCTTTCCCTTCCCCTGCCCCTCTGACAGTCCCCAGTGTGTGTTGTTCCCCATGATGTGTCCATGTGTTCTCATCGCTGATCTTGCAGTTGAAGTGAGAACATGCATTGTTTGGTTTTCTGTTCCTGTGTTAGTTTGCTGAGGATAATGGCTTCCAGCTCTATCAATGTTTCTGCAAAGGACATGATCTCATTCCTTTCTATGGCTGCATAGTATTCCATAGTATATATGTACCACATTTTCCTTATTCAATCTATCCCTGATGGGCATATGGGTTGACTCCCTGTCTTTGCTATTGTGAATAGTGCTGCAATGAACATATGTGTCCACGTATCTTCGTAATAGAATGATTTATATTCCTTTGGGTATATACCCAGTAATGGGATTTCTGAGTCAAATTGTATGACTGCCTCTAGATCTTTGAGGAATCACCACACTGTCTTCCACAATGGTCGAACTAATTTACATTCCCACCAACAGTGTAAAATTGTTTCTTTTTCTCTGCAACCTTGTCAGCATCTGTTGTTTCTCGATTTTTTAATAATTGCCATTCTGACTGGCATGAAATGGTATATCATTGTGGTTTTAATTTGCATTTCTCTAATCATCAATGATGTTGATCTTTTTTTTCATACATTTGTTGGCTGCATGAATGTCTTCTTTTGAGAAGCATCGGTTCATGTCTTTTTCTCACTTTTTACTGGGGTTGTTCTTTTCTTGCAAATGTACTTGAGTTCCTTGTAGACTGGATATTAGACCTTTGTGAGATATATTCAGTGCATCTAATACATTGTCTCCTTTTTCTGGAAATATGAATGTTTTCTCAATATACTTTAAGTTCTGGTGTACATGTGCAGAACATTCAGGTTTGTTACATAGGTATACACATGCCATGGTGGTTTGCTGCATCTATTACCCCATCATCTACATTAGGTATTTCTCCTAATGCTAGCCCTCCCCTATGCCCCCACCCACTGCTATCCTTCCCCTAGCCCTCTACCCCTCAACCAGCCCCAATGTGTGATGTTCCCCTCCCTGTGTCCACATGTTCTCATTGCTCAACACCCACTTATAAGTGAGAACATGCAGTGTTTGGTTTTCTGTTCTTGTGTCAGTTTGTTGAAAATGATGGCTTCCAGCTTTATCCATGTCCCTACAAGGACATGAACTCATCCTTTTTTATGACTGCATAGTATTCCGTGGTGTATATGTGCCACATTTTCCTTGTCCAGTCTATCATTGATGGGCATTTCGGTTGGTTCCAAGTCTTTGCTATTGTGAACAGTGCCACAATAAACATACGTGTATGTGTCTTTATGATAGAATGATTTATAATCCTTTGGGTTTATACCCAGTAATGGGATTGCTGGGTCAAATGGTATATCTATTTCTAGATTCTTGAGGAATGGCCACACTGTCTTTCACAATGGTTGAAGTAACTTACATACCCACCAATATTGCTAAAGAGTTCCTATTTCTCCACATCCTCTCTAGCATCTGTCTCCTGATTTTTTTTTTTTTTTTTTTTTTGAGACAGAGTCTCACTCTGTCATCAGGCACCAGGCTGGAGTGCAGTGGCACGATCTCGGCTCATTGCAACCTCTGCCTCCCGGGTTCAAGCAGTTCTCCGGCCTCAGCCTCTCGAGTAGCTGGTACTAGAGGCGCACGCCACCACACCCAGCTAATTTTTGTATTTTTTTTAGTAGAGATGATTGCATTCTAACTGGCATGAGATGGTATCTCAATGTGGTTTTGATTTGCATTTCTTTAATGACCAGTGATGATGACCTTTTTTTCATATGTTTGTTTGCTGCATAAATGTCCTCTTTTGAGAAGTATCCGTTCATATCCTTTGCCCACTTTTTGATGGGATTGTTTGCTTTTTCTTGTAAATTAGTTCAAGTTCTTTGTAGATTCTGGATATTGGCCCTTTGTCAGATGGGCAGATTGCAAAATTTTTTTCCCATTCTGTTGGTTGCAGTTTCACTCTAATGATTGTTTCTTTTGCTCCGCAGATGCTCTTACGTTTAATTAGATCCTGTTTGTCAATGTTAGCTTTTGTTGCCATCGCTTTTGGTGTTTTAGTCACGAAGTCCTTGCCCATGCCTATGTCCTGAATGGTATTGCCTAGGTTTTCTTCTAGGGTTTTTATGGTGTTAGGTCTTATGTTTAAATCTTTAATCCATCTGGATTTAATATTTGAAAAAAGTTTAAGGAAAGAATCCAGTTTCAGCTTTCTGCATAGGGCTAGCCAGTTTTCCCAACCCCATTTATTGAATAGGGAATCCTTTCCCCATTGCTTATTTTTGTCACAGGTTTGTCAAAAATCAGATGGTTGTAGATGTGTGGCATTTTCTGTGGCCTCTGTTCTGTTTCATTGATTTATATCTCTGTTTTGGTACCAGTTGCTGTTTTGATTACTGAAGCTTTGTAGCATAGTTTGAAGTAGTTTTCTAAGAAATTGAACTTGGTACCATTTAAATTGTTGTAGACCATGCTATAAACAGATAACCATATAAGGCAAAAAATATTTATTGAGGCCTTATTATGTTTACTCTATGCCAGGCATAGTTCCTGGTGCTAGAGCCACAACTACAAAGACACCAGAACAGGTTTTTGCTCCAATACAATGTAAATTCTTGTGAAAGAGACAGACTAAACAACAAAAGAGAGATATGTAATATAAGGAAATAATAAATGATCAGAGAAAAAATCAGGACAGAAACTGGTAAAGATGGGGGTTGTCTCTGATAGAGTAGCTGAACAAAGCCTCCACCCAAGTGGTATTTAGATCAAGACTAGAATAAATACAGGGAGACAAGCATTTGATGATCAGTGTTCAAGACCAAGGTTAGATTAATATCAAAGTTCTTCAGGTAGAAAAGGAGCTTTGAGTTTTCAAGGAAAAGGGAGAAAGCCTCAAAGTTTTTGTTCACCTCTACTGCCACAACAGTTTCCTAACTGATCTTCTTGCTTTGCTTCTTACTATGTTCAACTCGCCAAGCAGCAACCAGAGGGCTTTAAAGAAAAACTCAAAAAACTTAGATCACGTTATTTCCCAGATCACAGCATTACAGCACTTTCTCACCCCATTTAGAAAAAAGTACAGATTTCTCAGGTGGCTTTCAAGGATACTCAAGAACATCTGGCTGCTGCCTATCTTTCCACTGCCATGCTCAGCTCATCCGTAGGAGGGAGTGAGAGGAGTATGTTTCGATGCCGATTAGGAGGCTGTGGTAGTAGTCAAGGTGAGAACTGAAGGCTTGATTAGTAGTGTTGGGGGCAGGGGGGCAAAGCAGTTAGACTGGGGATATATTTAAGGGAAATGCTGATAGTACTTGAGGAAGGATTGGCTGTAGGCTCTGGCTTTATTTCTCCTCGGCTTCTCCAAGTTGTCAAGAGCTGTTAATGGCTACTCCTAACTAGGGCCTTCTGTTTCTCTGGAGGCATTATTCTTCTGTAGCAAACTGAAAGGCTACACATGTAAAACTTTATTTTTTAGACAATCAAAATTGTCCCATGAAATTTCATCTAGGCATGGCTTCAGAATTGAAGCCAATTCTCTAGAGCTAGAGTGAAACATTAGCTCTATCGGGTGGACATTCTGCCAGTGGGTCATTTAGGGTTCTGAAAGGAGGGGTAAAATGGAAAAAGAGATAAATGTCAAATTACCATTATGAGCATTATTTATACATCACTGTTTGGACACAGCTTTCATTGACACTATTGGCTGAAAAAGAGTTCTGAATCATCTATGAGTCCATTATTTCTACTATGGAACTCATTTTACAAGGTTGAGACAATTAAAGGATGGGAATGTATTTTGCAAACAACATATGCCCTGGGCTGGTAATGACTTCCAAGGCGCCATCTAATCTGGCTCCCATTCCTCCTTTGCCTTCCCCACTCTTACTTTCTCACTCTACTCCATACATTTTGTTCTCATTGCCATTTATAGAACATGCCTCCTTAAGTATTTTGCTCTCCTTCCACAGGCTAACTCACTCACTTCCTTCTAGTGCTTCCGGAATGCCACCCTCTCAGTAAGTTTACTGAGAAGTTTACTCTGACCATTCTATTTAAATTGCACCCAGCTCCCCACACCTGCCCTTAATCCTGTTCCCCCTCAAACAGGTCTATGCATTCTAAACTACTACATCATTTACTTTGCTTTTTTTTTTCTTGTTTGTCTCACTAGGATGAAGCTCTATGAGGGCAAAGATTTTTAATCTGTTTGGCTCTCTAACACAGCCCAAGCACCTAGAACAGTGGCTGCCACATACTAAGCACTCAATAAGTATTTGTTGAATGAATCAATAAAGTTATTATTTTTGTTGTAAATGGTCAGGTGGGGTGTAGAATGAAGGAAACAGCAGGATGAAGATCTGAGCTGTATGCCTACCACAGATTCAGATATAACCAAATGTTGTTTATGGACCAGGATATGCTCTGAGAAAGGCATCCTTTGGTGAGATCATTGCTATGCAAATATCACAGAATGTACTTACACATAGATGGTGTAGCCAACTATACACCTGGGCTACATGGTATACAGTCTATTGCTCCTAGCCTACAAACCTGTACAGCATGCTACTGTACTGAATACTGTAAGTAATTGTAATTAACACACAAATACTTACAATGTAGAAAAACATTGAAAAATATTTGTGTATCCAAACATAGAAAAGGTACAGGAAAAATATGGTACAAAAGATAAAAATGGGTACTTACTATGATCGGAGCTTGCAGGCCAAGAAGTTGCTCTGGGTGAGTCAATGAGCAAGTGGTGACTGAATTGAAGGCCTAGGACATTATACTACTATAGACTTTATAAATATTGTACACTTAGGCTAAGCTAAATTTATTTATAACATTTTCTTTCTTCAATAATAAATCAGCCTTAGCTTACTGTAATGTTTTACTTTATAAACTTTAAAATTTTTTAAGCTTTTGAAACACAGATTAAAACACTGTACAACTGCACAAAAATTTTTTTTGTTTATATCCTTATTCCATAAACTTTTTTATTTTTAAACATATTTTTTTTAATTTTCAAA